AAGCGCCACGCACTATCAGCGCAAGCACGGGCTCAAATCCAGGAAGCCCGTAGAAGGCTACAGAAGGAAGTGGCAAAGAAGCCGCCACCAACCCGCCAAGTCTGGAGGCCGAAGTCTGAAGCGGCAATTCAGACTAAGGCACAATCAGTGCAGCCTTCGAAGCAGGTTCAACCTCCGGCGAGCCGACCAAAGTCATCGGTAATTCCAATAGCTTCTCCGAGAGATCCCGCGGAATCATCTCGAAGGAGAAAGTCAGTCTTGGAGCGCCTCGGTCTAAATCCCGATGAGAGAGGCAAAGCTCCAGTCCAAGAACGTTTGGGCCCGATGAAGAAGCCCCGAACGACTCAACATGCTGGGGGTCACCGCCGCCTTCAACATGACAAGGAGTTCACGGTAGCTGCGCGTGCTAATTTGCGCATCGAAGTCCAGGAGCCCGCTGAGAATTCACGCCCAAAAAGGCATGTTTCGAGGCGCGTGACTCTTGAAGGCCCAAAGAAGGCAGTTCACCCTCAGAAGGAAACATTATCATCTGATGACGATAATGTTATACCTGAGAAGTAGTGCCAACACACGATAGGTCAAGCAGACGAATTGTACTATCGTGTTGGGGGTACGAGTAAAACCAGGAAGAGGAGTCCCCGAGGACTGGAAACTCAATGCCCCTGTTCCAAACTCATTCGGGCAGTATTGTCTGAGTGCAACTGCATCAAGGCGGTCCCTGAAAGAGTTTCGGTTTTCGAAAGGCTCAGTGCCAAAACGCCAGAACCAAGACCTAGGCGTTTCCGACAAAGAAGAAGAGTAGTCGAAGATAGAGAATTTCCGAGGGTCACCACTAACATGACCAGCAAGGGGACATCGGCATAGGATAATCTCGACTCGATTCTGAAAGCGCCCCGGCGTATAACCCGTCTGTAGTCCGAAACCATCAAACGATCAACTTATAGTAGGGTTCGGACAAGACTACCTTCAGAAGATGAAGAATCTGATGCCGGCTCCGCGGTCGCATCAGATAATACGATATCCAGCGAGGGACAACCCCACGAGGCACTTATGATAAGTGCGGAACAAGTGGCCAAGATGCTTGAAGAGGCCATGGCTAAACAACAGGAGGCCTTCAGGTTCGAAATGCAGATGGTCATGCAGAACATGAGAGAAATGCATGACCAACAAATCCAAGCATTGACGAACCAGCAAGGCGAGCCAAGTCGTCGTAACCAGGTTAATCTGGAAGATGAGGGCACAAATACAAATGAGACTCATAATGCCAATAATCCTCCCATCAATGCAGGGGGTGGTAACGAGAATGCTAGTGAAAACACAGGTGAAAGCTTGAAAATCAAAAACCTCGAGAGCAAAATCAATACATTGATTTCCGCTCAAAAGATGAAGAAAACAGGCATTCCTTGTCCATACCCAAGAGAATAGGAATCGATCCCATATTCGGCGAAGTTCAATCTAATTAACTTCACACCGTTTAATGGGATGGGTTCACCCACTCAGCATTTGATTTACTTCAAATCGTACCTGGGGGTTATCTCTGGTAATGAGCCTCTGATGGTATGGTCCTTCGTTGGTACTCTTCGTGGAGCCGCCTTTGATTGGTATCGTCGCCTCAAGCCAGGAAGCGTGAATAGCTGGGACGACATGGAGACTAAATTCCTCGCTAACTTCTTCGACGATGACACCGAGATATCCATCGGGTCGTTGCTTGACGAGAAATAAAAAGACAGGGAATTAGTTGACACCTTCGTCAAAAGGTTCCGGAACAAGGCGATGAACTACCGGGACCCGATCACTGAGGAGTTTATTCTCCAGACTTGCCACAACAACCTCGCACTGGACGTGTTGGAAGCAATGGGGACAGCACCGTCCAAAACCTGGAAGGATCTGAAGGTCCGAGGGGAGCAGGCTGAGCGATTCCTTAGGAGAAAATGCTAATGCAGTTGATGCTAATCAAACTTTCCAATTGCAACCTAAGCACCAGCCGCAGCAACAAGCACCACAACAATCTCGGGGGCAATGGCAACAACGGCCTCAGAAGCAGAAATCTTCGGAGCCGAGGTTTCCTAAAGTGTATTCCTTCAAAGATGACGAAGTTCCCGGCATCTTTAAGTACCTGTTGGAGAATAACAAAATCCAGCTGCCAGCGATCGTGGATCAAGAGGGGGCTAGCAAAGTGACGGATCCGAAGTATTGCGCATACCATAGAGCGGTCCACCACCCTACGAAGTCATGCTTCCACCTCAAGGATAAGATCCAGGCATTAATTGATGTGGGCGTCATAACCCCAAAGCCTGCCAAAAATGTTAGAGCAAATGCGGTGTCAATCAGCTTTGGATCGGTGCCCACAACATGGTTCAAACCAGAGCGCATCACCAAAGTAGGAATGAAGACAGTGAACGATGACCCACATGGACAGCGCCAAAAAGGACTTGTGCCACATACAGCCCCAAATGACGAAATCCTATGGGTTCATCCCGATCTTATTAAAGACGAACAGTGGGCGACTTCCTCGAGAAGAAAGAGTAAAGGCAAGTCCTGCAATGCTACATCCGCAATCTTCGAGGAGGATGGCGATGAAGCTCCTACTTTCCCGCTCTCCGAAGAAGAACAAGAAGTCTTCGCCACTAGAAGCGGAAATGAGTATCACTATAATTATCCACCACCTAGTGAGCAGGGGGTGAATAAACGGGGACCAGCCAAAACTCTCACGGAGATGGGGGTGATTACGAGTCCTACATTGGGCGAAGAGGCTCGACGACAGCCGGTGAATAAACCGAAAGAGAAGAACCCCCAGGAGGTTCAGAATCCGAAGCAGTCACATTTCAGTCGCCCGATTGGAAGAGACAAACCGGAAAGCTCGAAGACTCCGTAAGTCTTCGATATAATGGCTCAACTAGCCAACATTCCAGCACGGATAACGATGTATGAGTTGCTGCGGTTGTCCAAGGAAACTAGGGAGGCCTTGCAAGAAGCTTTGGCCAATTCAGAGGTGTTTCTGACTCAAATCAAGCCGGTGCCTGAAGAGCCAGAACCGCTGAGTCAACAATGCAATATAGCGACTAAGAACCTTCCTTGCATTACTTTCACCAAAGAGGATATGCAAACAAAGAATTCGAACCACGATCGACCGCTATATTTCATCGGGTACATTGGCTCCAGCAAAGTCAACCGAATCTAAGTGGATCCGGGTTCTGCTGTGAGTATTATACCGCTTCGCTTGATGCATTTCCTCGGCATTCCAGTTAGCAAGTTGGCGTCCACAGGCACTGTTATCTACGGGTTCAATACCAGCGGGTCAAGACCTTTAGGTAAAATCCGGATAAAGTGTCAAATGGGAGATTTGAAGACAGAAGTCACATGTTATGTGATCGATGCTGAAACTTCATATAACTTACTATTGGGTCGGCCTTGGATCCATAGTAATGTTATAATTCCCTCCACACTCCATCAGTGTTTAAAGTATGTCGACACTGATAATAAGGTTAGGACGGTGGTCGCGGATAAGCAACCATTCAAAGGGTATGAGAATTATTTCACTGATTCTCTCCTTTATGGTAACGAATCCGATACTGAATCATCGGCCCATGGCACGGACAGCGGAGAAGAAGCTGATACCGAAGCCGGATTTGATTACAATGGAGGTTATGTTTTAAACGACATTGTACCATTGGTAATCAACCTTGACGATGAACAATCGTCAGAGGGCAGTTGTAACTGGTAACTTGCCAATAATGAAATAAATAACGATTTAGAGTACTCCCTGTCTCTTGATGATGTGATAAAAGAGTTGTACGATAATCCTGATTTGCATATGCCACTTCGATCATCCTATGTAACAAAGGAACGCCTCCAGCATTCTTTCGGAACAACCCTGGTCGTCCCCAGATCATTTCTTAAGGGAGGATGAGGAT